ATAACCCCCATGGTATGTATATTTAGTGCAGGGCTCTTCGTACTGCTCCTGGGAGACTGTGGCACACTTCCATTTCCCGATCTACTCAGGCTGTGAGGCTTGGCAGGTTGTCATAAGGCCAGAAAATATTAGAGCTGAATGAAAAGGTGGACCAAAGCCAGTAGAACACAACTTCTATGCCTCTGCGATATCATTCTCACTCTGAATACCATGCCCAACACATAGAAGATATTTAGTGAATATTTCAAATGTGTTAAATGAAGACCCATTTTATAGGTGGGGAAATGGAGACTCAGATAAGAAAAGTGACTTATCTAAACATCTCACGGAAAATCAAAAGTAAAAATCAAGCTATGCAAGTTTTATTTTTTCAGTTTATTTAGTCTATCAAGGATTTTATATTTGAATAAAAATGGAGAAGAGCACATGAGAGGACAACATGTGGTTTCTGATTTTTTTATATCTACTGGGACAGATGAGACAGAAGGGAAAGTGTCAGGATAGAAAATTACTAATGTAATTCTCCTAAAGTGCCCAACAGATGCCCACTTCAGAATGTACTTGTAAGACCAGATTTGTGGAAACCTCTCCTGAAGGAAGCAAAGTATCAACACTTACATGCCTATCAACAAGATGACCAGAAACTAAACTATAACGCATCCATATAAGAGACTGTGACATAAACATGGAAACTTATGAAATGATCTACAGATGCTGACATGGAACGATCACTACCAATAGCACAGGAGTGGAAACGCTTCCAAATATACATGAGGTATATGCCCCTTTGTATGCTCCTACTCATAAATCCCCAGCTGGAAATCTATGGGTAAGTTTCATTCTGTGTGTAAGTGTACATAGATACTTGTCTTATAAAGCATTTATGAAACTTTAGAGTTCAAGGCCAATATCATGAAGTTGAACATTTTCACCAAAAGAAGTCTGGATTTGGGATTTGGAGATAGGTTTCAGTAGTGCTTGTATAAGATGAAGAAACTGTAAATACCAGGGAAGAAACAAATAGAACTGGCAGACGATACTGGGTGCACAGCTGGAAAACTACTGTGGCTTGAGCATTTGGGGACCCAGGTGCTGCATCCCAGGTAGAGGGGATGCTCATAGCAAGGGCTCTAAGTTATGTTTCTTTGTTTGCAGTCTGGGCACCAAGCTTGGGGGTTCTCGAGAGCACGCATAGACTTATCAGAGTCTGTACTTGGTCTGCCAGCCCTTCGAGGCAGATGCTTCAGCAGCCTTTTACTTATCCACAGGGAACTTTAGTTTCAATTTTATAAATTTACTGATCATATAGGTGGAAGGAAATTCTGAAACACATCCTAGGGTAGGAACTGGGAGAACCGTGCTGCGCAGAAATAGAATCATGACATCGGCTCACAGTGTTCGCCTTGACTGAGGTTCCTGCAGGCCTGGGTTTCCACATCCATCAAATGGAGCAAATGAACCAGGTGCTTTTAACAGCATTAAAGCACTGAAATGCGTTTGGATGTCTGGACTGAGCCGTCTAGCAAATTAGAAATGCACTGGAAATGCTTTAATGCTGCCTTTGTTTCGTGAATTGTGTCAGAGTTCTTATTCAGCACATGGACTCGGCTCTCAGAACTTTCTTTCCTAAGATTGTTCAAAACTGTTATCACAGAGATTCTCCCAATTGAGATGCATTTTCCTGACCAGTTGGAGTCCAGCTGTATAATACAATGCAATAAGATTTTGCATTGGTAAGAGCAAGTTTTACATCCGTACAATGCTCTCCATTTCTGTCCTGAATTTTATACTTACATTAACACCATAGGGTAGGCAAGGGAGGATTTTTAAAATCACTGTTGAGCAATAAGGAGACCTGAAACGAAGTAGTCTCAAGCAGTGAAGATACCCTGCGGGGGTGCAGGGGGCTCTCAAAGTGAGTTGATCTCTTGGTTTACCAGTTGGAAAAACACACTGTGTGATTTTAAGCAAGTTCTTTTACCCACTCATGCCTCAGTTTCCCATCTGGTTCCTAGGTGTAACTATTCACCTCCAGGATCCAGAGGGGCAAACACCTGACTCACCTGCCAACATCCAGGTTGTATGAGAGAGAGACAAGTGATTTGTTCAGAGGGACAAAGAGGACAAAGAAGAGGGGATGAGGGTGACGATGTCCTACTTACTGCCAGGGGAAGTCAGGCTGACAGCGCCACCCACTCAGCGGCACAGCCAGGGACCTGGGACCAGCTTCCTGGAGACGGCAAGGAGTCTGAGTTTGGCTCTAGGCAAATTGATTTTAAACGACTTTGATATATTTCAAAGGAGATATGTAAAAGCCAGGGCCTTCCAAACTGGATTTGTTCATTTCTTTGCTTGCTTGCTTGTTTTAAAATAACCCTCGATCTAATAAATGTAAAAGCATTGTCTCACTGAAATTGAAATAGTGTTTCAGGACACCGGCCTGAGTGGTTGTTGAAGATGCGAAACATCTGAGGTATCATTTGCCGGGGCGGGCAGGCGTCTAGTATTTTCCCAAGTAACCAAACGGTACTACTTACTGAGATGCTACCTGAAATGAAACAAAAATCGATAGCAAAGTAATTTTTTGAAAACACAATGTATCCAAAAGAAAAAAAAAAAAAAAAAGACCACACAATATACCTGTTTTCTATTTTCCCCTTCCTGAAAGATTGACAGGAATTTATTAAAAGCTTTCTGAAGTACAGTCCTAAGGCAAGCTTGTTTAATTTGAAACTCAACATCCAATTACCTTATTGGACCAAAGAAACACCTTCATTTTCCCCAAGTCATTCTAATTGATCGCTTGTAAATCTGGCTTTGTGCCACAGGATTTTAAGCATGTCCACCGGGTAAATGGAAATCTCAGAGATGCCCACTTCTTGCTGAGGTTTCTTGGTTAATCCTTGCCCAAAAAGAACCCTCTCCCCCAGCTACTATCCGTGGCTTCTACTGCCCTCCCTGTGCTGATTGTTTGGGCCCCTTCTATGAAGAAAACCAGATGGACAACAGGCTAATTCAGTTTTTATTCTTCACCAGGCTCTACAAAACACCCTCTGAAACTGCCTTCACCCCACTGCCTGCTTAAGTCATCCAGAAAACAATCCAATTCATGTTTTAATAACATAAGTTTACAATCTTGTCACACTTCATATTCAAGGCTATCAAATCATTCTATCAGCCTTAATGAATTTTCACGATGCTCCTGCAAAGGAGATTAAGAGTACATCTTCCTGGTGTGACTCTCTGGGGCCATTTTAATGAGAATATTGATAACCTCTTGCTGAGCACATCTTCAAGTGGGCTCTTGTGGGAGACGGGAGCCTGTTTAGTTTTGCAATTGCTCCATAAACCCACACAGTCCCATCCATCTCAGCCACAATCTGCTTTTATTTCAGTGGCATGTCGGCCTTTTACAAACCTTCTACATGTCCATGACCGATTCTTTCCTACCACAACTCCAGGGTTGGGGAAGTGGGGACAGGAGAGTACTTCGAGTTTACAATGAAAGAATTGCTCCTAGCAAAAATTGAAGTGGCTTCCAAGATCTCAGATGGGGTGGGGAGTCCTGCAATAAATATATCGATATGATCTCTGCTATCGTGGACTTAGAGCACAAAGAAGAAAAAAGGAAAATGAATGATGATACTCTGAAAAGAAGAAAACAAATAAGAGGGATGTGTTTTGGAGCAGAGGTTCCAATTTCTTGCTCCCTGACTTTGAGCATGAGTCTGCTCAGAGCCAGGGTCCGCATGATCTAGTGCGGCCCTGACTTAAGTGAGATCCTGACTGGCAATAGAAAGAGGTCCCCAAAGAGATGATGGGGTCTGAAGTGCATTATACATAAATTATAATACAATGACATTTCTCCTAGATGACTCTTCACGGATCCTAAATTCATGTCACAGAGCAGATGATTTGCAATAGCGAACATGGGACCCACGGAGTCATAGCCAAAGACTAATTCTTCCTCTGTGAAGGAAAGATGCTTTGTTGTGTGTCTGCAGGCAGAGCTCATGCAGGAGAGACAATAGAAACACAGCGCTGGGAGAGGACCATCCAGAGCTTCACACGGCGGCCCACGGAGCCTGCAGCCCCAGCTCAGTACCTGCACGCCTCTGGGCTCCAAGCCCAGCCCCGACCCCATTGCATGGATTTCATCACCACAGAGATTTTCAGGGGCCACATCCTCCACCACATGTCAGACTCACAGAACTGCACAACTTACTTTGCAGCTGGGGAATATAAGCCTGAATCCTACATTTAATCCTACTCGCAGCACTGACATTCAAATCAAAAGGCTTTGTTAGGGCTCCCGGAAAATGGGGTATCATTTTGCCTGCACAATGTTTCACTCAGAGCCGCATCCTCCTTGCTTTGAAGTGCTAAGTGAATGGTAGGGAGAAAAGCTTTTTGCTACAGGGTCGGGAGGGTGGGGAGGAGGGAGGAAGGGACACTATCTGGATGAATAACAGGGAAACGAATAGAAGCTGCTAAGTCACATTCAAGTTCAATGCAAATGCTGCTGAAAATCCTGTCTTAGGATTTTTCTGCCATTTTTTCTTTTGTCTTTTAAAGAGGCAGCAGCAGCCTTTATGGAAAGAGCTTTGGAATCAGAATCCGAGACCTACTCTACTGCCTGACTTTGAGATATAAAGCAAGTCATTATTCCCTGGTAACCTGAATTTCCTGGATCATAAAACCAGGAACCAAATTCCTACCCACCCGAGGCCTTCCTAAGAGCAAAAGAAGTGTACACACGCACACGCAGAGCACACGGCATGATGCCTGACACACGGCAGACAGAGGGACAGTCATCCCCCTTCTAGTTTGTTCCTTACTAGTCAGCTAAACTCGTGCCAATCCTGGGCAGTGTCATAATGTTCTGGGCACCTCATTTACCTTGCATTTGAACTAAGCCAAAAGCGACTCTGGGGCACAGGTGTTGCTATGTCCATTTTGTAGATAAAGACAGTGAGGCTCAGAGAAGTGAACAACAATGGAACATCATCCAAATGCTCACTTGAGGAGCACACACACTGCAGAGAGGACCAGCGCGGCCCCTGCACAAGGATGACACAGAAATTGATGAAGTGCATTCCATTCTTTAAAATTATATCCAAAATTTCAAACTGAGGGTAAAAGTTGACTGTAGATCCTTTTAGTAGTAGAGCATTTTCAGCAGTCATGCAATGTTTAATTGATTATCAAATCCACTGCTGTATGATAACAAAAGTTACGGCTCTATTGTGCTATACAGCAGTAACTACCTCCATATATATACAACTTACCCATCTTATTTCAGAGGTTTCCTTTTCCTGAGTAACCCCATACACAGGTCTCAGACACTTCTTTGGCCGACCTTTATCCTCCTCATTTCTTCACTGATGAGATAATAAATCTATGGTATGTGTGCATAGCATATTTATAGGACTTTTGTTTTTCTTTGTGATGGTTGTGAGGCGAGAGCACAGCCTGGTTCATTTGGCTGTGGTGTCTAAAGACTCAGCCTCTGCTGGCTCCTAGAAACCAGAGCCTGGCTACAAAAGTTGAGGCCTTAAACTCCAGACCATCAGTGAAGACAGCAACAGCGATGTGATTCAAGGCAGTGCGCGCTGGAATCTGGAACCAGGAAAATCTTTTGAAAGCTCAGATGGTGTGTCTTTGTGTTTCTCACTTATAGACAATAAGAACAATTGAAGAAGACCTCACAAAGAAAAGATACAGAAGATAACATAGCATTCAAGATGAGTGGATTTCCTGCTGTCATCCTACGTGGACAAATGATCTCTAAGTTCTTCAGTATTGAGAGTATAGGTCACTGAGGTGGATCATTTTAAAACCCTTGACTTAGCAGAAGTTTCACAACCACTCTATGAAGCAGGTAGGTACCCTGTAATCTCCATTTTCACAGGAAACTAAGGCACAAATCTTGAGCGGCTCCTCTAAGGAGCCTAACAGGTGAGTGCAGGGCTGAGGTTGGAGACCACACTCTGGCTACAAGGTTCACGCTCCCAAGTTCACCAGCTGGCTATGAACACGGTCACTGAGGCCCCGGTTGTTGGCCTTAGGCTGGTGTGCACAGTTTTGGCTTAGTCCCCCAGTTTCAAGCAGGGTAGCTATTTTTGTTCCTGCTTGACTTATGAGGAACTCTGGGAAGTTCAAGCAAGTAAGCGACCTGTCATTTGGGAAAGGGTAGAGGCGAAGACATTGAGGTAAAGTATTGCCCTCTAAGGCTCTTCAGGGTTCCTCTTTCTGGTGACGCTTTGGTGACTGGCTTTGTGATCTTTCATTGTTATCCGGTAACTCACCCCAGTGCCAAATGGAGAGAAGGATGAACATGGCGTTCTCCTGTCATCTCGTTATGGGGACTGTGTGTCACCAGTACAAGAAGACAGAGGGTAGCGGAAGTGGAGAGAGCCCTAGGATGTGGCCTCACAGGATGATTTCTGCCTTCGGCCTTTATGGTGATTTCTCTCTTACCTTCTCCACTTGCTGAGCACACACTCCCAATACTCAGTCTCCATGGGTGACTCTTCACAGAAGAAGAGGAAAAGGAGTCTGCGTCATTCATCATGCAGCAGAACGAGGTGGAAGAAGCAGCTCGGGGTGATCTTTTCTGCACGCCTTGTCCTAGCTCAGCCGCCACTTTCTGGGCTGGGTCCTGCATCTCTGCTTCCTGGCCGACACACTGAGGTTGGCTTGGTATGCTAATGTTAGGTTTTTGGGGTGTGGATCTATGCACTGAGTGACAGAAGGAGATCCTGTAATTAGGAACCCTACCACCCACTGACACAGACAGACTAGGAGGGGACCACCGCATGGCACATGAGGAGCTGTCAAACTTCACCTCCTGAGACAGAGGTGGCAGCCTGCGCTGATGTGCTATCTGCAGACGGCTCCAGGGCAAAGGCACAGGTCTACCTGGCTTGCGGTAGACCCACTGTTGGCTGATCCCTCCAGTCCTCCCCCAGAAGTTCCTCCTGATACCCTTTCACCTCACAGTGCCCCCCAACCTTTCCAGCCAGGGTACATGATTCAGAGATCAGAAGCTGGCCTTGGCCCTGGTCCTGGCCCTGGCCCTGGCAATAAAGATTGGAGATTGAACAAAGCTGCTCTTTTTTAATCCTCCGTTTCCTTCTCTGTAAATGAGAGGAGAGAGAAACCACGTTCGCAGCTATGAAACATTCATGCACCAGACAAGATAATGTCTCTTATTACACTGAAGCATCCCTAAGAGACACGTTTGCTCCCTTGACAGTGGAGGACACAAACACTCACCCAACTTCAGCAATTTGTAGGCAATCAGACATCTGGGAAGAAGTTGTCTGCCTGCCGAGTTTCTGCTTTCTCTGGACAGCATGGCTACCTACCTTCCTGCTCCAGGCCCTGGCACTGTCTACCTCCGGCCAGTATTGCCTGTCCATACCAGCTTTCTTACTCCAACTGACTCCTGAAGGAGTCCAGAAAGACTGGTTCATTTACCTTTCTCTTAAATCCTCTTACAGTCTACTCCCATGTTAGAAGCTAAAGTGATCCTTGAATAATAAATCAGGTGATGTCATTTCCCATATTAAACCCTCCAAAGGATTCCCAGCTTACCTCTTACATGAATCCTTGTGCAAAGCTCAACATGGTTTGACTTCTTGCCATCTTCACAACTTCCTTTGCTATCCCTCTTCCTGGTTTTTGTCCTATTCTAGCCACTCTGACTTTTTGCTTTGCCGAAACATTAAACCCAGCTTTCACTAGCCCCAGGACCTTTGCACTTGCTGCTTAATCTGCCTAGAAAGCTTTTCATCCATATGTTCATGTATTCCTCCTTTCATTCATATCCTGTTTCAGTGAGTTTTCCTCAAAGAGAATGATCCTGACCACCTATCTCAAGTGATGCCTTTCTCCCCTTGACTTTGACTCTGTTTTGTTAATATGTCTTACTGATTGAAAGTAGGCTTTATATTTATGTGTCATTTATCTCTCTTTCCTATAATAAGCTTTATTAGATCACGGACTTTCTTTGTTTATTGCTGTGTCATCAATCCTCTAACACCCTCCACCTAAAAGGAATACAAGGAATGTGTTGAGCCAATGGGAACTCATCATTATGTCCATATGGTAATTAGTTGCATATGGTAATTTAGATTGGGTTTTCACTGCCATAAATTGATTTATTCAGCAATGAAGGTGGTGTAACAGAGTACTGAAAGCTTGCAACTGCTCTGGGGGAAAGGCTTATTTGAATATCTTGCTCCAGGCAAAATATGGGAGAGTTCAGGTCCTTGAGTCTGCATCCCTGAGTGAGCTAAGACTGATCCAAATGGCCTGTCAGAGCAGTGGCTTTATTCTGGAGATCTTCTGCCATCCAGGGTTATTGCATAGTTTATACACGTTGTAAGCTCTCACCTATCAAATGGTGGGAAGGAACATATCTTGATTAATTGGCCATTTTAATTAATAAAATAGAAGCCCTTTGACTTTTTTTTTTACTTGTTGAAAGTTCTGTCGACATGAAATAGTTGGTGAACTAAGTGAAATGCAACCCGCTTTTCTGACCCTTGGCCTTGAGACTCAGGTGCTAATCTTAGGGACCCTCCACATCTGGTCCGTCTTGAGTAACTCATGAGTCTACAGTCATTTCCCAGAAGTGAGGGGGACTGGAAAAGGAGGGAAAAGGGTAGGCCGCCTCCCAGTCCTTTGAAAAGACACACCACAGTCAACTAAGCTCAGTATTCCCTGCACTTCTTCGATTTGCCCAAAGAGTTCGAGAATGATTTCCAGTTCAAAGTACTAGCTCATTCTCTGAATAGCAAAATAACAAATTGATGAACTCTTGAGAACTAGACTCATCTGCAACTCTCTGGTGTCAGAAAATTATTTTCTTTTCTCATAGTATTTGATGGCACAATTGTAGAGGATGTGTGTGATTCTCTGCATGCATGCTGTGTGCACATCAACTTCTGCAACAAAACTATTAAGAACATAGACATTATCTTGCTCTTGTCACCAGGTCTTAACACCAGGCCTGGCACGAGTAGGTGCTGGATCAGTATTTAATGAATGAATAAGTGCATGAAGACAATTTCCCTGTTTTATGCTTCCTCTCTGATGAATGTTGGTTTTTCCTAACATGATACTTTGCAGGTGTTTACCAGCGCCGGACATTCAAAACCTTACGACAAGTAGAAATAGAGAGGGTGATGCCTTTTTATAAATAGCAACAGTGACTCACAGTGGTTTCCTAGCTCCCTTAAACTCATCATCCAAGGTGCATCCAAGCGGAGCCTGCAAACAGGCCAGCCAGGTTCCCCATCCAGCACATGCCTTCTGAGATTTATCTGCACAGACAGGGTGTGGTTGAAAAGCCAGTAATGCTGTGAGCAGTCCTCTACACCATTCCTTCCGTGTAGATCAAGTTTACAACCCACATTTGAGAAGCTACAGGTCATGGCTACACTAGTCCCTAGCCTCGTTGTCCCCCACCACCCAGAGTGTTCCAGAATCTAGATTCTTGGGTTCTGTGAAATCCTAGAAAATTCCACAGGCCTACCAAAAGCTCCATTTGTTGCATCCCAATGGTATAACAAGGTAAACAGAGCCTAGGTTCAAGCTCCACTCTGCCATGTGTCTGGGTGCCTCGGCATCCTCAGCTACAACATGGGAATGCTGCAGACTAAGTAAGCAATGCACGGGAAAAACACGGAGAGCTGCGCCAGGCGTGAGCTCACACTTCTACACCACAACCGTCCTAGGAGGTGCAACACACACATCTCATCTTGTAGCTGAGTGAAACATCAACCAGTTTGTTCAACAGGATTCTCTCTGCTGACCCAGGGAGAAGTGGTATTCAAATGCAGGACCTTGTGACCCCAAAACTCCAGGGCACTGTGAAGCTCTGGACCTAGGGGCTCACTTGCACCCCCAAGTGCCATTTGGAAGAGGATGCTGGAGGAAAGCAGGCCGAGCCCACAGAGTTGAATTCTCAATGCAAGTTCACACTCAGTGTCACTGGGTGGAGTAAAACCTTTTAAAGGGTGAACAATCCTTCCATGCTGCCGGGGACCAGGGAGAAAGTATGCTCCCCTTCTACTGGAGTGGAGGGCCAGCCTGC